TAGGACCTGAGTCTCTCTAAGAATAATGTGTTTGTTATCAGTGAACGTGTTTGTCTGTGACTCACATGTGGGTAAGGTGTGTTTGCTGTTATAACAGCTCTTGAAACTTTATGGAGGTAAATTAAAAAGCCCCATATCCTGATGGCTAAGCTTTATGCCCAGGAGTCATGGAAGCTGCAGTTTTTCCTGGGGCACCTTGAAGCACTCTTCTCTTTCTTTTTCCAACCACCCATTTCCATCTTCTTCATGGTTAACATCCACTTCATCTCCCTGCCTCAATCCCCCTTATTCTCCTGTGTCCTTCCAGCAGCATGCCACAGCACTTTTCAGCTCTGCTGTAGCTCTATGCCAGCCTCCTGGCAGCATCTCTGGTACCTTTGGTCCCCTGGTTCCTGCTGCTGCCTGTGAGTGGAGTGATCTCTGTGTCAGGGTGGCTTCATTTGAGCTGATAGAGCTGAGGGGTTAAAATAAACTGCAAACAGCCTCTTATACTGGAATAAAGATGTTCACACATCATGAGTGCTGGAAGAGACCTGAGGAGGAGGATCTGGGAGTTCCAGCAGGGTGGTGGGGCTGGCAGGAGCATTCTCTGGTCTTGCCCTGTGCCTCAGAGCACAGCACTGCCCAGCAGGCTGAGCCTGCCAGGGGCTGTCACCGCTTTGTGACAGCGTTTCACGTCATGAAACTGAGATGACCAGGAAAGAACATGGGCCCTGTTCCACCCTGGCCATGCAGATGTTCCCGGAGGGTTCCCTGGTGCCAGGAGTTGTGAGTGTCTGTGCTCTGACACTTGGAGGTGATGGACTGTGTAGGTGCACATCTGGCTCTCAGAGCTGGTACCTCTGCCCTGCGCCTGCCTGTGGCAATCATGTCTCCATCTCCTGATAGACCCCAGCAGAGGATCTTGCCCATAATTCTCACAGCAAGGTCAGTGTTAGCATCAAAGGTTAGGTGGAAGGTAGTAGGGCACTTCTGCTTGTGCTTTTGAAGCATATGAAGGAATAGAAACCTATGAGGGAATGTAACTTATTTAGCTCAGAGCTGCCCTGACAGACTTGCAGCAGGGAAGAGGGTGTATTGAGCCAGACATTAATATCCACAAATATGAAAATGTCTGTATTTTGCCCTCATGACCTCGTGCTCTGTGACAGTGACATGGTACAACTGGGTGAAGCAGATCAGTGGGGAGCGAGCATCTCCGAACTGACGTGCAGACGTGGGATGGAGTTGTCCAAGATGCTGCAGACCCTCAAAAGGCACCGTTGCTGTGCCTTAGGCTTCTTGCTTATCTCCTCACTGCTCCTCTCTGTTTTGTGGTGTCACTCAGCTTTTGAACCACAGCATTTCTGTCCACTGCAGACTGTTGCACTATTGGTGCCAGCAAAATGGTCCTGGCCTGAGCTGCAGCAGGGAGGGCTGGTGTCCTGGTGCTTCTCCTGGCCACAATCGTGGTGTGCTTCTCCTGGCCCTGCACACTTGACTATTCCCTCAAAGAATTCAATGGGATCCAAGGTGCTGGCATGCCTGCCAGAGAGAGGGCCAGAGAGCTGGTGCCAGTCAGAAGTCCAGGACTGTCCCCATAGATAAGGCAGCAGCCGGCTCTGCTCATCTTCTGCCAGAGCCCGTGGTGGGAAGGGGCTGTCCCTGCTCCCGGGCACTGACTGTGAACCTAAGCTTTGTTCTAATACTGGGTCTCTAGCCCAAGTATTTGTGGCAAAAGTCCTCCAGCAGGTAGGTGAGCACAGGCTGTGGTGCTGCCTTGATCCCATGTGGGTGTGACAGCCCAAGGGCACAACCCCATCTTTGTGCTCCTGCAGCCCCAAAACATGCAGGGAGTGTGGGACAGCCTGGGCCAGGGCTGGGGTCTGCATCTTGGCCTTTAAAAGCTCTTCTTGGTCTTTTGTGCCATGAGTTCTCCACATTGTTCATTACTATGTTGCTCTAACATATCCCATCTGCACTAAGCTGATGAATTCTTGTTCATTTCATCTCTACTTGTACAGAAATAGTGCCCTCTGTTTAAGATGGAGTGAGCAGGACTTCTTGTAATATTCAAGATATTGACACACTGCAGCTTTATCTAGGAAACCTTATTTTAATTTGGTTTTTACATTAATGCCTAACAGTCTGTTTGCCTTCTGACCACTTCAGGCAATTCAACAACAGCTTCCATAAAACTCCCCTCAATGACTCCAAGATCCTTCCTGTTTGTTAAGAGCTAACCTGGAGCTCATCCCTGTGTAAAATAGCTAGATATATTTTTTCATACCTGCATGTTTTATCAGTCTGTCAGTACCATGAGATCTCTTTGCAGCCAGTTTTAATATTTAACAACTTGCATATTTATATATTACTGAAAAATTTGGACACTTCATTATCCCTCTCACTTTCCAAAGTCCCTTGTGAATATTTGGAGAACACAGTCGACTTCTGGGACTGTCCTGGTACATTCACTCCATTGCAAAGGCTGACCTGCTTTCTTCTCTTCTTACTTGTGGAGATAGATGGCCCTGGGTAGTGCTGCATGATGCTCTGTCATCTTCCATAGCCTTCACCTGGTAGGAGAACAGAAGAGGAGATGCCAGAGTTTGGCATTACCTGAATTACCTGTGTCCCCACACTAGCTGGCTGCTTTGAGGAGCCCCATGGGTCTGTGCAGCCTCACTCTCCTTTTCCAAAGCACTGGTAGTTCTCTTCATTATGCTGGTTTTCTACCATTTTTTCATTCCCTGCATCCCTCTAACTTCTTCAAATTCAGTTGGTATTTGCTACAGGTGATTTTTCTGGTATTGTGATCAATATAGTGAGGAGTTCTGTGTTGGTGTTAACAGTTCACCAGTTTAGTTAATGATTTTTCTAGAGCCTTTTGGTGAACAGTCTTGTCCTTTTCTTCTCTTTTCCATGCCAACCTTACAGGTTGGTTCTAACATTTTTACTGCCACTTCAAATTGAATAAATCATTTTGATTCATCCCCCATAAAGGAAGGGTGTGAGTTCTGAGTTTCTTGACAGAGAAAACTGAGGCTGTTGGGGCCTTTGCTTCTCCAAGGCTTTTTTCAGCCCTTGTCCCTAGAGATTATTTTCTGAACAGGAAGGGGAACAGAAATGCTTCAATGTTCTTGGGGAGGAGGGGGTGGGGGGAAGGTGAAAATTTTTTTTTCATGGGTTTCATTGATTCAGTGCAAATTAATAGGCTTAAACTGCAGTAAAACTGATTCAGATGAGGTTTTAGAAAAATTCTTTCTGGTGTGGAGGAGATGGCAGCCCTGGAGTGGGTGAGGAGTTTCCCTTTGGAGGTCTCAAAAACAGGTTGAGCAAGTGTCTCTGAGGAATGTTTGAGGTCTGGCTGATCCTGCCTTCAGGCAGCAAAGTAGGCTAGATGACCTCTTAGGGTCATCCCTTTTTTTCCTACTGTTTTATAAATTAAGCCCCTGAGTGAGAAGAGAGCACCTCTCTGTGCCTGGCTTTCCCAGGACCTTTCCACATCCCCTGTTTCTGCAGGGGAGCTCCTGCTGCCAGAGACAAGCTGTGAGCAGAGATGAGTGGAGCACTTTGCTTGGGTGGTTGGTGACTGTGTCCCTTGTATGAAGGAGAATCTTCCCGAGCTGGCCTCTGGTCACCTTGTGCAGGGTGCTGAGGAGGACACCTGGGCTCTCAGCCTTCAGAGGTGATTAGTTAGCATCTCATCAGAGAATAATGAGGGGGTTAGTGGTCTGCCTTAGCTCCATGGGCAGCTGCCCAGGTGAGAAAGGGTCTGGGCTGGCCAGGATCCCAGTGGC